GTGGATTCAACTATTGACCAGTTGATATTTTCTCTGTAGGCAGATGAAGAACCTCGCGGAAAAGCTCCTAGAGCCAGTAACTACCCCAAAGACCTAAATACTTCGTGTCTTTGATCTGTGGCTTCAGCGGTTGGGGTTTCGGGCTTGTCTTCGGTTTTAGCCTCGAGAGTCTTTCCGGGCGCAGGGTTGACCTGTAATTAGAGTTCAGGGGTTCATAGTTTGCAGGGTTCTACACTGGAAATAGGGGCCTAAAGAATTACCGATACTATTTTGGGGGCTCTTTTTGATTATAGTGTAATGGGCCCAGAACTCTGGTCTAATTAGTAAGGCCCCGACATTACACTGTATAGACCCGGAAAGCTCAAAAGCACCAAACCAACAGAAGCCTTGCAAACTGAACACCTTAATCTCAAAGCCTCCCATCGAAAAGCCGCATCCTAACTTTAAGAAGCCATGAAATCTAAGCTCCGTATAACACTTCATTCTTAACGGCCAGGCAGAATGACCCGTATGGAACCGGAAGTCTGTAGTCTAATATAGAAGCCTGAGTTATGATAAGGAATCCTGCCTCTTCGGGTTTATACCGAACCCCAAAATGCTCCAAAACCGTAGTCGAGTTTGTAAGGCCAATATGGGAGTTTCCGAAAATAGGGGACCCTAATCAATATAGGCCCTAAATGGTAGGATCCTTATTGTAAGGAGCCCGAAATAAGGTACCCCTAAATTGGCGGAAACTCCCCTATATTAGACCTCCCTGAGAACCCAATACAATTTCTTTTGCGGAATATAGCTTAAATCACAGTATGGAGCCTTATATAAGTTAAGCCATATTCCTTAATTAAACAATATTGAGCTCTCTGGGCTTAGCCTTGCAGGTCTCCAAGTCACGCAGCAGCCGTGATGTACACAATGTGTCCGTCAAGGCTTCATCGAGAAGGGTTTATATAGGATTTAGGGTGAGAAGGATTGTTGGAGTCAGGGTATGGGTTTTGAGGGTTCCGGAATGTATCCCAAATTTATGCGATTTTTACGGCGCTGTTTGTTGTCAGGTTTGGTATGGTGTTTTGGGGATGCACCTGATAATTGTGGAGCTGGGGAGGATACCGGGTAGTCTATGGGTCTGCTCAGATGTTTCTTTGTTTCGGGTTTGCTGCCGATTACCTTGTCGACGGGACATTCTGCCAGAAGGGATCCACAGGTAGAACATGTAGCTTCTGTGCGGAAAAGAGGCTTTAAACAGGGCTCAACCCCTCGTGGGGTTTTGGGTTTCGGCTTGATTCTTGGGGGGCTTGTAGCCTGGACAAGTAGCATGGCCATGTTTGATTTTTCTATGTAGGCTGTGCAAGCCCACACCACCTCAACACGACATGCCATGTCTCCTCAACTGGGACCTTGGTAGACATGTAATTGCTTCGGTCCCTCTGAAGATATCCTAAACCTTAAACCCGAAACCCTAAACCCCTAAACCCTAAACACGAGACCGAGAAGGCCGAAAAGCCCACTGCTTCAGGCCACAATGTTGCCCAACATGCTGGACATGGATATCATTATGGCCCTCGCGCAGATTGCCGTGGAGGACACCGGGACTACTGTAGCATGCCTATCAACAGAACGGTTGAGTTTGATGTGTCAGACATCGGCATGTGTGGTGGTGTGCCTTTCCGAGATTCGTGAACCAAAGCAGGCTCCCTGACAAACCGTCTTTGTTATTCTTAGGAAACAATTTCAGTGCCGGATGCAGACCGAAGCTTTCGACTTTGTGTCAGGACATGTCCGTGTTCTTGAAACTGTCGGTCCGGGGCATCCTGTACTGCCTGTGGGACAACCTGCTCGAGCGCCCTGGTCCTTAATCACACGGCTTTTCTTTTTCAAATGGGAGTTTCCGAAAATGGGGTACCGGGGTACCTTATTTGGGGTTCCGTATAGTAAGGATCCTACTATTTAGGGTATTCTTTTAGGGTCCCCAAATCTCGGTCAGTTCATCGCCCGATCTCAGCCATGGAGACCTCACCGGCACCCACCGTTTAGGGAGAAGTGCTTTTAGGGCCGACATCCCAAGCCCGCTGCAAAAAAGGTCCCGAAGTCAGCCAGCTTTATGCCTTCGAAGCGGAAGGTGAGATAGGGTTTAAGGTCTACTATGTCGTAGAGTTCTGCACTACCACCCCGAGTCCATAGCTTCAAAGTAAGTTCCATCAACTTTTCACAGCCCCTCAACTTTGTCGCTGCTGCCCAGACACAAGGCACTCGACACACCGAAACATGATGGCCAGGCAAGTGTGGATTTTCATGACCTTCTTGCACATGCTGGAACTGGCTGCCTACATTTGGTGGGGCCACTCTACACTACAGATTTTCGGGTTGGGGTACTTAGAGGATCAGGGGACTTAATAAGGAGGGTTATAAGTGATGTAACTATAGTTATATCTACTTCACTCTCCCTCTCACTTTCCCCAAGGTCTCAGTGTCAGTCCCACTTTCAGTCTCAGTCTCAGTTTCTTTCTCACTCTGATTCTGAATATCACTCTCACTTCCAGTCTCACACTCACTCTCATTCTCACTTTCAGTCGCAGTCGCACTCTGATTCTCACTCTGACTTTCACTCTCACCCTCCACTCTGACTCTCACTCTTATGTTCACTTTCGCTCTCAGTCTCATTCTCAGTCTCCAGCCTAGGGCCTTCATTTACCTCGAAGCCGAAGCCGACAAAAACATGACCCAAACCCTACGGAAACCCTGAAGATCCTACCTTTTTCAGGACTTATATAAGGAAATCATAATAGGGAACCCTAAAAAGGTAGGTTATTCAAGGTTAAGGTACGGAAACAGAATGAAAGAGTTGAAATCCTGGCCTGCAGAGGAGTTTCGAAAGGGTTCAGGGTCAAGGCTTGGAGTGTTCAACAGTGTTTTGGCTTGAGAGCTACCGCTAGAATTCTGGGCTTAGGGTTCAGGGTTTAGCATTCAGGGCTTAGGGTTCATCAAGTCCAGGTGTAAAAAAGGGCTTAAGGTTTAGGGTTCAGGGTTGACGGTTTAGCGTGTTAGCACTCCAATGCTTTGTACAGCAGTTGAACTTGGCGCTTTGCTCGGGTTCTCGAGTATGCGGTCTGTATGTAGTTCACGCCATGCGATTTATGACCCTAAACCCCTAAACCCTAAATGATCGACGGCGGCTGGTTCGCTTGAGCGTTCCCTGCACTCAGAGCCAAACCCTGTCGAAGCTATCGTCTTTAGCCGTTGCGGACCCCAGCTTGGGCTTGAAGAAGGCATCTTTTGTTCCACCGAGTATGGTCCTTGTGGAGGAATCATGTCCCTCTTGCTTCTTTATTATGAGGACTGCTGACAGCAGGTCGTCTATTCGAGAGCTTTAATGCTCTGAAACCTAATCCATATAGGCTTGTTTATGAGCTTTGAATTCTTAACGGCCTTCACCCCAATCCTTACTACCTCTCCTTTACAATGTGCCTCAAAATCTTACTTTTCAAATTGAAGCCCGAAGCCCCCATGTTAGTTTTGTTAAGCCTTACAATGCCGATGTGTCTCTCGCAACTACAACTCCTGCTCTTGTAGAACACCTGTACGCTTATCAAACCTTTGTAACACCCTTACTGAACCCTAAAAGCTTTGTAGAAGCCTTGTACAACATGTGTAGAAGCCTTCAGGCAAGTTTATGGACCGCGTACATGGACCCTGCCCCGTCAACCATCATTACAGTAGGACCCTTTCAAAACCAGGTGTATCGAAGACCCTACACAAGGCCCATATACTAATGCACATGAAGCCTTAAACTCTTGTAACAACCTTATAGATCCTTTCCAGAATCCCTACCAAAAATACCTTTACTGGATCCTAACGCCTAAAGCCTAAACCCCTACAAGGAACAAACAAAGCTTGTCGACCCAGGCTTATCGGGCCTCAGTCACATCATGGAAGATCTTCGCTCCGCCGCTTGCTGGGTAGTGCGGAGCCCCAGTCAGGAAGACCAAGCGTTAAAGGGAACTCCAGAAAGTTGGAATATGGTTTCAGGGTAGGATCCCCTATGATTTACCGTAAAGTGGTTTCGATAATGATATTCCAACTTTCTGGCTTCTACTGTAAGAGGTTTTTGGTTCGGGGTTCAGGTTGCCCGAGAAGTTCGGAGATTCGGGGTCGAGGATGTGGTGCCTTGAACCCTCAAACCCCATGACGTAAGCCCAACTCTACCCGTTTCTTCATTTTAAAGCATCCCCATGTATTCGCGAGTGGCGTTCGTGTAAGAGTCCTAACTAATTGATGATACTCTTGCTGTTGTTGAAGGGCCCGTTTTGCAAGTGCCGCTGCCTGCATGCATGGGTTTGCCGATGATCCGTTGTTTGTTTTGGGGTTGGGGCATTGAAACGAATGGATGTTTTTTGGGAAGAGGGCTCGGCGGTGTTAGATACAAAGAGGCTTCAGAGTTTGTAGGTGTTCCTTCTTGTGGATTTTCTGGTATCATCGGGTTGCGAGGCTTCCGGCTCATGCCTTGGGACAGTTGCAGGGTGAGGGTAGTAACCCAAGCCCTACACCCCTAAACCCCAAACCCTTCGGGGTCGCTGCTTGATGGTTTGGCACTGAAAGCTTTCGCAAGCAAGCAGGCAAAGCAAAGACTGCACCGTAAATTCTGTGGCGGGCCATACAATCCTCTAGGACGTAGAGTAGGCCCTTATTCCCTTTTTCTAGGGTTCAGGTTCCCTTATAAGCCCCTTTGAACCAACAAGGGCACCCTTTTTATTCCTAGGTTACTCTTCGGTCTAGAATCCCCTAAACCCTAAACCCCTAAAACCCTAAACCCTAAACCCCTAAACCCCTAAACCCTAAACCCCTAAACCCTAAATGCTCGACCCGAGGCCCTATAAGCCATGCCTTCAGAGCCTTCCGGAACTTTCATCTTCCCAAAGCTCGGGATGAGCTTGAAACCCTAAACCCTGAACGACCCTACACTACCCTAAACCCCGAAAGCAGCTCTGTTTCACCTGCCTTGCCACGCCATGACTTACGGACTGCTTCGAAGAATTCCTGCATGGACCGACGATGGTATTGGAATTCAAGAATTCGTGGAGACTATGGAGGACTCTGCATGCCCCAAACTCTTCGCGACCAATGTCAGTGGATTTCTGGCAGAGCTGTGGCGGCTCCCCGAGATGGAGCATCTGACACGGATGCCACTTGTGGCATCGTATTGGCGACGACTAGCGCAGAGATGCGAGGAGATGAGGGCACTGAACCTCCGCGCTGCACGGAAGCCGCCTCCGGAGTTTTATTCATCTTTGATGGTGGTTTTTGAACGAATTCGTCTACGCACGTGGTTTTTGTATGTGGACACTGAGCTGGCACCTACGCCACAATATCACCAGCTCCGGGCGTAATAAAAGTGTGCTGGGATCGGGGGTCTGCCACAGACATGAGAATTTGAGAATTTCTGGATGCAAAGTGCTGAATTTGAACATCTCTGGATGCAAACACCACCTGGCCACTGGATACACATCACCTGCATATTGCCGTGGTTGTTGGACATATCACTGCATGGTCCTTTTTCCGGCATGACGGTTGCATGGATCTTCCTGGAGGCCACTGACTCTGGGAGTTTTCTGCATGCGAGAATACACATTGCATGGTGAATTTGAGATATGGTCCGTTCTGGTCCACGAGTGGGCAGCTGGGATAGGCTGTATTACGGCATGGCTGAATTTGAGCATCGCTGGATACAAACACCACCTGGCCACTGGATACACATCGCCTGCATGTTGACGTGGTTGCCGGATGTATCATTGCATGGTCCTTATTCCGGCATGAAGGCTACATGAATTTTCTTGGAGGCCACTGCCTTTGGGAGTTTTCTGCATGCGAGAATGCAAACTGCATGATGAATTTGAGACATGGTCCGTCCTGATCCACGAGTGGGCAGCTGGGGTAGGATGTATTACTGCATGATATTGGCGACTTGCCTTTTGCATGGTTTTATATTTGCTTTGCTCTGCACAACCGCTGTCCTTAGAGCTTATTGCTTGATGAGAGTGCCGGCTGCGTGGTGAATTTGTGAGTGAGCTCGCCTTAGTCTGCGAAAGCGAACTGCGGGGTGTACTATGGCACGCTGTTCTCGGGACATGATGCCTTCTGCATGGTAGACGAAGTCCACACGGCAATGTGCTTTTCTGCATGGGTTATTCTATATCTATGCATGGCAAGCCGATCGGGCTCTCGCTGATGGGGCGCGGCTCTTTGGTCCCCATGCTGGTGGATGGTGAGATTGTTGCATGGTGCATGGTGCATGTCCTGGTTTAGCAAAACACGCATGGACAGCTGCACGACTGGACAGGTGTGAGTGAACTAACGCGGTGGTTTGTCATACTGCATGTTGCAACCTCTGAAGCCTTGGAGTGATGTGAGTTGGTGGTCGTACCGAATGCTGTTTCACGGGGCTCCTGGAGTACGGAACTAGGGGGTGGGTTCTTTCGGTTTAGCGTTTGTGCTCTGGGAGTCTGCTGTCAGTTGGGATCTGCGTTATGCTTGGACACTTGGCGTTGGTGTTTCTGGGATCTTGTCTGACAGCACCCTGTGAGCTAATGGGCTTGCGGGCAGTTAATGATCATCGTCGTACCTACTTCTGCAGACCTTGCCAGGCTAGTCCGAGAGTGAGTGTCAAAAAACCCCGAAAGCTGAAGCCCTAAACCTTAAAATCCTATGGAAACCCTTAACCCTAAACTCACCTTTGGCTAGTAGGGAATGGAAGAATGGTAATAGTAGTTAGAATTGTACCCCATTCCTCCATTCCCTACATAAATAATAATTAAAACCCTTGTTGGAACCCCAAGCATTCCAAAGCTGTAGGAAGCTTCTAGTCTTGAGGCACAACATGCTGGTTTAAGGTTTACGATAGGATCTATGGGGTTTACTGCGATTTCGTGAGTTTAGGGCTTACTGTAGGGTTTAGTTTAGTATGATTAGGGTTTACCGCACGGGGTTTGGGATTTAGGTTTTGGGCTGGACTAAGCCCTATACCTTGAAAAGCCCTTGAGCAAGGTGATGGCGGCGGGGGGCTTCCGCGAACTTTCGCAGCACCTCTGCGTCAACGGGTCAGGGGACTTACTAAGTCAGCCACCCTAAACCCTAAACCCAGACCCTAAACGCTAAAGGTAAGTAAGTGTTGTAACCCACCAGGTCCGGTCCTCCTTCAACAACTAGCCCTTTAACTCTAAGCCCTACCTAAATCCCCGATTGCCTGATACCCGGTTCTGGAGCATGTGGAAAGCAGAACCGCGAACACCGTACGCTGCCTTTGCAGCTCCCAGCTTCCATCCACAACGGGTGAGAGACGAATTTAAATACTTCATCCCGTAAGCCTCGATGTGGTGGAGACTCATGACTTTAGTGGGCGTCCGTTTCCATCCCCTGACCCCGCAAGATAGCGAGATGCCTTTGGACTTGGGTCAGGTTCTAGTTTTCGCAGGCTCAAGGGTTTCGTTCGGCTTTGCAACTAGCGGCCTTTAAGGTTTTAGAGTTGTTTGTTTGGTTTTGGGGGGTCGGGTCTGCAGAGCTTGAGGGGTTTAGGACTCAGCTGATTTTTGGGTTTAGACTTGTGGGATTGGGTTCATTACGGTTTCGGGCGAGTAGTTTTGGTTCTTTGCTTCACTCAGCAACTGTCTTGAACTCGGACTCTCCACCCGGGCTGGGACTCGAGTGTGGCGCAGCCCTGCATCGCAGGGTTGATAAGGGACCCCTGTGGACGGGACCCCTGTGGGTTGCATTTGTCCAATGGGGCCAAATGGGGCCTAATGGGGCCCAATGGCTTTCCCATTTGCCCCCATTAGGCCCCGTTGGGCCTATTGGGCCCCATTGGGCAAATGCAACCCACAGGGGTCCCTTATCAACTCTGTGACTGCATTCGCAAGTTCCATGCCTCCAGGGGTTTGAAATCAACACATAGGTGGTTGTCAAAATTAGGGTCCCTTTTCGGGTACTCTAAATAATAGACAACCACTCACATTTCAAACGCAAGTGTCCGGCTATGACAGATGAATGGTAGTAGCTATGGCGATTTTGAATTGACCGTTCCAGTCTAACAGTAGCAGCTCTAGGTCTCCTCGTCGTCGTCGCAGTAGTAGTAGTAGTAGTAGTAGTAGTAGTAGTAGTAGTAGTAGTAGTAGTAGTAGTAGTAGTAGTACTTAGTAGTAGTAGTAGTAGTAGTAGCAGTAGTAGCAGTCGCAATAGCAGCAGCAGGAGGAGGAGGAGTAGTAGTTGTAGTAGAGTGGTAATCACTTCCCCTGAACATTCAACCCCCCCCTAATATAAAAACTGCCTGCCCCCGGAACTTTGCGGTTTCGGGCCCGGCATTCAGTTCAAAAGGGACACCATTAGGGGGGTGGCAGATCTGTATGTGTTTTAATTGAAGGAAGACTACCGTAGTACTAAAGACAGCAGAGCTTCAGGGCTTTAGGGTCTAGGGCTGGAGGCTTAGGGCTTAGGGCTTTAGTAGGGCTCCAGGCTTAGGATAGCTAGCAGCTGGGAGTCCGGGTACGTGGATGCACCGAACCGAAACCCCCCCTATTATAAAAACTAAACCTCCGAAATCCAGTTTTTATATTACGGGGGGGGGAGGGGCGTTTAATATTAGGGGGAAGCGATTAAACACGGATGCACATGCTGGTAGTGTAGATTGTCATGTCAAACTTCCAATAATTGTTGCGCTCTGAGGGGTCTAGGGTTTACGGTTCTTCACCCACTCCAGCAGCCGTGAGGATCGTGCTCCTCACGTACAACTGGCGCAGTAAGTACCATGCGCATGACGTCTCCATTATGCGCTCCTTGGCACATTTAGGCATGAGGTTTTGCGTGCTTCCTGAAGTGAGCTTCCATCTTGTTGCGAAGCTTTTCAGAAGCTTTGCTGACTGACCGCTCTTCTGATTGTATAATCAAAACCTACACACTGTGGCTAAAGATCTCGCGCCTGGTGACCTCGAATCCTGGTATATGGGCTTTCGGGAGATGCCGCGTCAGGTGGGCTTGCTAGAGACAGAAGTTGGTGACATGCCCTCTCCCCGAAGTTAGCACCGGAAGTCTGGCAGCTTACTGGCATGGAAGCCTTGTCACTGACACTGAGTCCAGCAGACAAGTCACCCCGACTGGAAACTCGACAAACCCTACATATGCGCCATAAACCTGAAAAATCCCCCGAACCAGCCATCATCCCGGGCCTCATGCCCTCCCCCAGTTTTAACTTCCGTGCGAACGTGTGTCGATCAGCCTGAGCCCCGCAACCTGAAGTCGAGTTTAGCTCCCCCATTTAAGGCACATTAAGGGGTATCGGGATCTCTGTGTGCCCCTTCTTGTCATCAGGAGTCGTCGTAGTTTGTCAGACTGACAGTTTTTGCCGATCAAGATTATGGCCATTATCCGTGTTGTTGTGTTGCTTTGTAGCTAGAACTGTATCATGTAGTGTAAGAGCAAACTATGCACCCTTCCTCTCTGAGGCGTTGGGCCTATCGGACCATAGTAGTTTAATCAGCGCCGACAAGCTTCCCAACAACTAAATACTATGGGGGCCTTAACCATTAGAATAGGGTTTGGGGGTATATTATACTATAACTAACTAAAATAAGGAACCCCCAAAACCCCATTCTAATGATTACGGCCCCTACATTACTAAATACCCCCCCCCCCCCCCCCCCCAATGCGGCCCAGGGGCTTTCAGTAAGCTTTGGGTTTCGGAGGTGCAGTAAACCTTACTAAGCCCTCTTCTGTAGGTCCGTTCTGAAGGTCCGATTTTTTTGGGTTTTTTGTGCATGCGGTCCTGGGGGCATAGTGCTTACGGTCTCTTGGGCTTCGTTCGATGAGAGTTCCAAACCCTACTCGAAAGCTTCAATTTAAGCCTCGAAACGCTAAGTCAAAGCCTCAACCCAATGCCCTATGTTACAAACTTGGGACCTCCTCCGGCTAGTCGGAGTACGAGCGCTGAGACTCTTATCCTCGGCGCAAATCCCAAAATCACAAGGAAGCATGTGGGACCTCAGCTCCAGCCTCTACAGCCATTGGTGTGCCTTGGGCCTGTGGGAATAGAACACTTCAGGGCTTCGGGCTTCCAGGGCTTAATGTAGGAACCTGATTAAGAAACCTTCCTAAAACTTCAAAACAGTAGGATTCATCATATACTAAGGAACCCTAATATGTAAAGGCCCAAGGTTTCTTATTAATCAGGTTCCTACATTACCTAGCGCGCCGCCATCAGAAGACGATATGCAAGTTTGGGGGTGCCTGGTACGTAATGAATCAGATTAGGGTCCCCTCGTTTGGTAGTGCCTGTGGCTCCAATCGCCTTGTAGTTTGGTGGGTTCTGTTATACCCAGGGGCTCCATAATTCCTTTTTGGGAATACTTCATAGGGTTCTAAATATGAACCCCGAAAAGGAACATGGACCCTTGCGTACCCTGTAACTAAGGGTCATAACCCGCTGTTTTGTAGGGTTCAGGGCTACAGGTGACTTCCCTGGAGAAAGCAGCTCCAGTAGTTGTCAATACTGTTCCTGAGGGTTACCGATTTTTCTTTGTTCATGGTACAGTATACCCCGGAACGCTATTCTACATGCTAAGGTCCCTATGTTAATCATGCAGCTTCTCAAGGCTTCATTGTGGTTTGGGAACAGAACCCTGCTGGAGATTGTCTCAGTATCGAAATTCAAAGGGGAGAAGGAGGGACCCTTAATGGGGACCCCTACCCTATAATGGGCTATATAATGGGTATATAGTAGCTATATTAAGGGTATATACCTAGGGTTCCTTATTAAGGGTCCCTCCCCTTACCCTTGGAAAGTAGGGTCCTTAAAGGGATCTATGGGTTCCTTAAAGGGATCTATAGGTATTTAGGGTCCCTCCTTTTACCCTTGGAGAAATTGGGGCTTCGGATGGCTTGAGCGTGTCTCTCCTTCCAGCCTCAACCTCGCAGGTCCTACTTGGAGGATCAGGGGACTTAGTAAGTCGGGTTCCGTTAAAGGGATCTATAGGGTTCCTTAAAGGGATCTATAGGGTTTAGGGTTTAGGGCCTACTCAGAGGATCAGGGGACTTAGTAAGTCGGGTTATAAGCACCGTAACTCTAGGGCTATAAGTAGGCAACCATATTACCTTACTTCTAACCCTAGTTACTGGGTCCCTGATCCTCCAAGTACCTACCTGTGGCCTGTGACTATATACCGAGAGTGAGCAGTGAAGTTCGTGGAAACAAGCGCTTTGCTGGAAGCTCTGTAAGCCTTACAACACAGGGTTGCCTGTATGACCGCACGACAGACACCAAACAAGCTCTAAGGCTTCCTAAACCCCGAACGACAAGTCCAGTCCTCTCTTCACTGTCACCGGTGGGCAGGCGGAGAGTGAGAGAGTGCGGGCCTGGCGCTAGCAAGAACAGCGCCCATATTGAGACCCTGTGTTATCCATGCAGTAGGAAATTCAGGTCTGTTCCAACGGCACCCCGCGAGCGCGCAAGATCCGTGCACCCAAAGCCTAAAGCCAAGATCCTAGCCTGGACCGGGTTATAAGTAGATATAGCTAAATAGTTATATACTTTACTTCTAACCCCAGATACTAAGTCCCCCCATCCCCTGAGTACCCTGAACCCAAGATCAGAGGCCCACAAACCGGTTCCGGTTTAGCGGTTTAGGGGGCTTGGTGCATTGCAGTCCCTGCTCAAAAAAGGCTATACTCTCAGCCGCGAGCCCATGACAGAAGCACCAAGCCGGGTTGAGGGTTCGGGTCTGTGGCTGCGGGCTGCGGGTGTAGTACTATAGTTATAGATGTCGGCCTCAACCCTAAACCCTGCCTAAACTCCCAAAAGTATGTAAAATAGTGGCCCAACCCCTATAAAATGGCTAGTATTCTACACACTTGGGGTGTCCATGTGAGCCCTAAACTCTATGCCTTAAACTTAAACTACAAACCCTAGGACCTAGAGTAGGCCCTTATTCCCTTTTTCTAGGGTTCAGGTTCCCTTATAAGCCCCTTTAAACCAAAAAGGGCACCCTTTTTATTCCTAGGTTACTCTTGGGTCTAGAACCCTAGACCCTAAAGCCTGAAGCACAGCCTAGGCGTGCCCACGGGGCTGCTCGCGTTGCTCCAGCTGGCTTTTGCATGGTGCACCCTGGGTGCATGGAGCCTTAGGGTTTTGGGCTCCGGGTTTAGGGTTTGGGGTTTAGGGTTCAGGGTATAAGGGGTTTAAGGGGTTTAGGGATTTGGGGTTGAGGGTTTAGGGCCTAGGGTTCAGGGGTTTAGGGTCCCACGGATTCCAGGCTTCGAGTTCAGCTTATAGGTTTCTACAAGGGTTGTAGTACATTGTAGGTCTGTAAGGGTTCTAATGAAGTTCTAGTGTCGGTCTATGAGAGGTATAGTAAGGTGGGCCCATAAGGGCTATAATGTAGGTCTTCAAGGGTTATAGTGTAAGTCTTGATTGGTCCAGCTCTCGAACCTGTAAATTCTTATGTGCTTACCCATAGGCCCCATAGTAGTTCCTTTTGGGGTTCATATGTAGATTCCTCCACGGTAATCCCAAAAAGGAACTACTATCGGGCCCATGAGTATCGCATGCCAGCTGTTTAGCAATGCTCCGCCCGAACGTATTGCACCATGGCTTTTGGCGGCGGTCGTGCTGGGTCATTGTGGGAGCCGAGTATCAATAATCCGGGTTCCAGGATCTAGGGTCTAGGGTTTACCTTAACCCTGAAGAACCTACCTTTTTAAGGACTTATATAAGGAAATCATAATAAGGAACCCTAAAAGGGTAGGTTCTTCAGGGTTAAGGTAGGGTCTAAAGTTAAGGATTTAGGGTTTAGGATGATTACCCAAACTACCTCAAAGCCAAGAGCCCCTAAGCCCTAAGCCGTTTGCGAGTTGAGAGGCGTAAGCCCTAAACCCAAAGCAGCGTGAATTTTAGGCAGTAGTAGTAGTAGTAGTAGTAGTAGTAGTAGTAGTAGTAGTAGTAGTAGTAGTAGTAGTAGTAGTGGTAGTGGTAGTGGTAGTGGTAGTGGTAGTGGTAGTGGTAGTGGTAGTGGTAGTGGTAGTGGTAGCAGTAGTAGTAGTGGTGGTAGTAGTAGTGGTAGTAGTAGTAGTAGTAGCAGCAATAGCAAGAATCTTCGTAATAATATGGCACTAGTAGTAGAAGGAGGCTTCCGGTGAAGAATCTGAGGCACGCAGACGGCCAGCTCGGAGGTCTATCAACTTGCGGGCGGTCCCTTGATGCTGCTTGTCACCATTGTCCTCTGCAAGAGCCATGCCTGCGATATGGCTGGGTTCAGGCTTTGGGGCTCTAGGAATTACTGTTCTGCAAACGGTCTTTCCTTCATGGATGTCGCTTCTGTACCAAGCTCATGGTGAAAACAGGAATCCCAGTAATTAGATAGTTGTCACTCGACTTTGGTGCTGCGAGCTGTGTGCTTCTTCTGAGATCTGCTGTGTTGCTTCTAGCGGAACTAGGTTTAGGGCTTAGGGTTCAGGGTTACGAAGGTTCAGTTGGGATCATGGCATCATGGCTTCTCTTGCTACTTGAGCTTGTCCTGGTATTCATGCAACTGCTGTGGTGACCATGGAAAAGATTCTCTGTTATGACAGATGTCACTTTACTGACTTAAGGAACGAGCGGACTTTGTAAGCAGCTTATAAGCAGTCTGACGTACGAAGTCTCCTTGTTGATGATGATCCTTACTGGGCTCCTCTTTGTTTTACTTAGGCTCGTCAGCACCCTGATGTTTTGCTGTAAGGTTCATGAGATTGAACTTAGATTTTCCCGTTCCGGGAAAAGGCTTGCTGAGAAGTTTCAGATTCGCGATCTCCTTCTTGCCCTGAAACATGCAAGAGCACCTCAAGCATACTCTTTGGGTTCAGCGTTGAGGGTTTAGCTCGTCATGTAACTACTACTATTACTGCTACTACTACTACTACTACTACTACTACTACTACTACTACTACTACTACTACTACTACTACTACTACTACTACTACTACTACTACTAGGTCATTGTGCAAGTCTCATCTTGTTTCAGGAGTTGGCTCCTGATTTACATGAGCCGCCTCCATGCAGTCGGCGTTCGACACTTGGCAAGGGTTTAGGGTTTAGGGTTTAGGGGTTTAGGGGTTTAGGGTGGCACATTTAGTCTGGATACTGCGCCTCTGATTTTGTTGCTGGTATCTAGGGAGACATTTCTCGACATAGGTGGTACTGTCTTTACTGTTCTCTTACGGGCCGTCTCACACAGTACTCAGTAGTACTACTAGTCGAGGCTGGGGTGTGCATCCACAGGGTTGGAAATAGCCCAAGCTTCCTTGACAGTTGTTGCTTTCACCGAGGCCTTAATGGCTAAATTCGATAGCCTCCGGCTACTTAACAATGTAGTCGAACCACGAAGTCTCCTCCCTTTGTTCAGCCTCTCTTTGTCCTTGGAGTACAGGGTATGCACAATTCCGTGGAGACGTTTCAGGGGCCTTGATAGCCAGATTCTGAAGCATCATTTATGTTTCAACTTGTTCAGAGGCTGTCGAAGGCTCCAGTTTCTTGGGGGTTTGGGCTTTAAGGTTTACGGTGGAGATGCAAAGAGAGCGTAGATCTGGGGATGCTGTGTGTGTGTGGGTCATTTGATTGCAGGAGGTCACAGCGTTAGTTGAGCTAAGGCATCCATGCGATCTCCAACTCCTTGACCGGGGGTGCGACGAGACAGATGATGGTCTTGGGCCCAGGGGATGCATGTGGCTCCATAGGGGAGGTGGAATGTCGTACGGACACTGACCCGCTTAAGAGATTCTTGTAGTTCCAATGTAGTGCTTTGTATTGCTGTACTTCCGGGGGCAAACAGCCTTATACCTTTACTGAGCAAAATTCGCTTGGACAACAGATGCTCGAGCAACAGCAGATGCATCCCTTTTGTAGTTCGACAAGTTACATTCATATCCAGAGCCTTGATGCCCTATGCCTATTACCCCCATGGAGTGCCAGAAATGCTTGTGTCCTCGACATGAAGCCAGACGGTCAGAAGCCTTTCAAGGCAGGGCTATACCGATTTAGGGTCTATCTGGGCTTGGGGTTTAGAGTTCAGGGTGGATGACGAAAGGCCGCGATGCAAGGATCTGGCTAGCCCCAAGCCCAGTGGCAAAAAAAGGGTGGATGGATATGCCGGATATGCAACCTTGAATCCACATCCTCGACTCTAGGCCTCTAGGCCCGCACCCGGTACCTTATGAATCCTTTTAGCTCTACACCGAACTCCGAAATCTACTGAAATCTCGAGGCCATCACGCTCATGATTTTCGCCTCCTTTTGCTTGGCCTTCCTGATTCTTGCACGCAGCCGCCCGTCACCTCGTATAGGATTTACAGTTCGGGGCCGAGACAGCTGAAGGATTTGGGGCTTGAGGGGTTCGAGTTCTCGTCAGACATGGCTTTTCTTCCAGACAAGAAAGCCCTAGGTTCCATTAACTAGAAAAGCTGTGAGGGATGGGTATTCTGCATGCCAGTGACACAAAATTCCCAACTTGAATGCCTCAGCTTCAACCGCCATGAACAAATTGAGGTGTTGAAACCCAATACCTAAAGCTTCAACTCCGTTCACCAAACCTAGCATCCCAAGCCTCATCAACCGGCAAACCCGCACCCCCGCAACCTGCATCAACCCCTATCCCCACAACTTGTTTACGACTACATCGGCTTCATGTCATGGCTTGAATCCCTTAGGCTTCGGCACGACAAATGAGATGTCTTGAATTCCCAAGCTTCAAATCCTGACAACTGAGATTTTCCCAATCAAGGGATCTATGGTTCAGGAATTAAAGATTTAAGCAGTTTGAACTCAGGCTGACGCACAGAGGCCTTGAATGAATCCACCAGGGTTGTGGGTCCGCTTGCGCACAACGGGTTAAGTAAGTTATGTGATGGGCCATATGGGTGCACGAGTATAGGAGTATCACAAAGTTCGGACACTATGCGGTGGGATAGTTGTCATCAGGACCCATACATAAGCTAACGTAATTAATTTCCCAAAGCCCTTCAGCCTTTGATGCTGCCATTTGCAAACCTCGAGAGCCCAATACCCAGCAACCAAGGAATATAGCTTAAATCATAATATGACGCCTAAATAAATTAAGCCATATTCCTTAATGATTCCCTTATAGAACCCCTATAGATCCCCTTAAGGCTTAAGGAGCCCTTTAAGGAGCCCTTCGGCCTTAAGCCATATTCCTTAATTAAGGGTCTTGGGCTCTCTGCAAACCTCCTGCTCTGGTGCGAATCAACCACAAAAACGCTTGATTTCAGGCAAAGACCACGGTTGGGTCTTGGCCTCTGCCTACCGAGGACAGAGTCCGGTTTAGGGTTTAGTGCTCTGTCCGACATCCAGGCGGGCATAAACAAGTCTGTGCAAAACGGCCAGAGCACTCAAAGGACCAGGGGACTTAGCAAAAAGGTGCCATAAGGGCATCTGCCAGAGCCCACACAGGACTGAAGCTGTCCAGTAGCCCCAAACGGCACATGTAGACCTGGAAGAACTTGCATACGCTGAGTCCAAGGGTAGTAGCGCATGAAAAGTAACAGGTAAATCCTGAACCCTGAGCCCCGAACCGCAGCCCCGAGCCCTCTAAGCGATTTGGCCATCAAGACCCGAAAACCCGAAATCCCAAAGCGAACAAATCTAGACCCGGTCTTCCCTCGATTTCTGCTTGCAGCCTTGCCCATGACAGGCCCTTGGCTAGAGGATGCAAAAACTTCGGCCAAGCAAACCAGTAAATCATGTCAAGTCCACAGTCAGTGGTAAATCCCTGTACCTCAAATTACAAAACCCTTTCATAAAATGCTCGTGAACAAAGCCTTCATGGCGGTAAGTCACAACAAACGCCCTCCAGAATGTCAAGAACCGTATTCGCCACGATCCGTAAACCCTCGCTAGAGCTCCAGGGAACTTTTGTCGGCATCGGGGCATTCTAGGGAGGGAGGTGTTGGGACACTTTTGGGGTTCCCGAAGTCTGGCTTTGAGGGCCCCAGCATTAGGATCCTTGTGCTAGGCTTAGGGGTACTTAGAAATAATTTTTAATCTTTTGGTTATTATAATCCCTAAGAAACAGCTCAAATCATAATTTCTGCTAGGGTTCTAAGTTCAGTATAGTAGTCTTGGCCTGTACAAACCCAAGGATTTAGGGTTCAGGGTGAAGTCTTGGGCTGGGTTTGGGTGCGGTTTGACCATTTGTACCCAGAGACTCCAATATCCCTTAAATAAGGAATATACTGAATATACCTTAAATTATAATGGGATCCTTGATATGATGTAAGGGATATTCCTTAATTAAGGGATATTGGGGTCTCTGGGTAGAAGGTGTGGGTTTGGACTGGGTTTGGGTGCAAAAGTGGTGTGCATCTCGTCCTTTTCCAGGACTGCTCTTCGGTGATGGGAGCGGCTTAGATAACCTTGGCCTCAACGTCGATGAGGAAGAGACGCCTAGCTGTGAATCAAGCCTGTGGGCTTTCGAGTTAATTAAACTCGTACGCCTCAAAACCATCACCATCATGGTCAGTAAGCCCCAGTTCGGAACTGTAGCTGTTGTGGAGCCTCTAGGCAGGGATTGTTCCATTTCGCTACGGAGGGGCTTCTATACAGTGTCCAAGCACAATATGCTGTACTCCGTCGGTGGCTGGGCTCCTAGGGTAATGCCACCTGGATTAGTGTTAAGAATGTCGGGCAAGAATGAACGAAATTTCGGAGGGTTCGTACCCTAAACTCTAAACTCTAAGCCGCTCTTGAAGAACTGAGACGAATGCATTCCTGCTACCCAGGTATGCCCGGAACGACGTCATGCTCTGTGGAGTCAATCTTATTGGCTCCACCTTCTTCAACATCATCATCCTGTGATTCAGCTGGATCTTGTGGTGGGTGTGGCTTCCCTCTTCTTAGGCTTGCACTTTGGGTTATCTGGCTAGAGCACTTAGACCCTGCAGCCCTAAAGCCCTACAGACAACTTTCTTGGTTTTTGACGGAAGAAAGCAGTCTCTGCTTTGAGTTGTCGATGCTGGCACTTTGCAGTAGGGTTTAGGGGCGTAGGGATTTAGGGATTAGGGTTTAGGGTTTAGGGATTCTATGGGAACCCCACTTACCCCTACCTCTCCAGGAACCTCTCAAACAGGGATTCCGGACATGCTGGCCTGGCCATGAGTCTGGTCTTTGGGGTCAGTTTGGCAATGTTCGCTACAGTAATGCCAAGTGGGAGTTTCCGAAAATAGGGGACCCTAATAGAGTACCCTATATAGTAGGATCCTTATTATAGAGATCCCTAGTTTTCGGAAACTCCGGAGTTCAGGGTTTTGGCATTCTAGGTTTAGGGAGAGGTTGCTCAGAGCGTTGGAGGTTCTAGAGGTCCTTTGTGGATGAATTTCGAACACAAGCTTTGTTGCATGAAACCACAGCAATGCCGCTAGTGTAGACGCAGCCTCTGCATACTCCGCAAAGGGCACTTTCTTACATCGTCCTATTGATTATTGTCCTTTAATTTAATTACCCATGCTGAATTATGAAAGCATAAAGCAGCGTACCTATCCATATGCACGGTTCAGAGTTTGGGTTTCAGGATTTAGGGTTCAGGGTCTCGGAGCTCAGAGCTTTGGGTTTAGGCGGCGGGCTTATTGTGTATGTCGAAATTGAGACTGCCAGCATCAAGGAATCTGATTATTGCCGTCTACAGCAACGAGTATGAATCTTGGCAGCAAGAGTTGAGAGTTGAGATCATGAAATTCGTCCTGCTTTCGAAGCTGCGCATGAAGAGATTTCTCAAGCAATGTTTCGTGGATCTGGTGGATGACGTCACCGTTTTCTGTCTGAAACCGTCAGAGTTAAGGAACACCGTTGGAGCTAAGAAGAAATGGTTCATCACAGATCCTCATAGATCCCTCTAAGGAACCCTTATAGATCCCTTTTAAAGAACCCTATTTAGTTCAACACGTCTCTACTGCAGTGTCAGGCTCTGGGTTCGGGATTGTCGGGTGCCCGGTCGAAGTGGAAGATCCCGCCGTCACTTCGACAAGGGTCCCTGAACGAACCCGCTCTATCCCTGGGACTCCAGTCACCTGAATAGTCGTAGCTTACTAATTACTAACCATATAAGATGTCACCCAGTAACACATTTTTAGGTAGCCGGAGCCCTAGGGTATTTCAAGGATCTTAGCACAACCTGGCATCCTTCAAGTTTTGCACGTGCACGGTGCAGAAACCCCCAGATTATGGCGATTTAGGGGTACAGGCTGTTAAGGGTTTAGGGTTCAGGGGCTGCAAGACCCAATCCATCCGACTCTCTTGTCCGGGGCACGAACGCCGATTTCTGGCCTCATATCAAGATCGAGGGCTTGATTACAAGTCGAGCTTGAAATATGGCAATCCTACTAAGATAGGCCTACTTGAACACAGAAGTCGGCTTCTGGCCGCGCGACTAAGCCCGTGATCCTCTCAGCAAGCTCAGGAAGAGTGATTATGATAGAAGTGACAGAAAAAGCTTCGACTTACGGACGCTACATCATTTGTGCATCGGGGGGAGTTGCTGTAGGAACCGTCCCTGTGGCAGCTGGAGCTGTGCTGGTGTTACCAACCAACGGACACGATACCAGCCGATCCAATGCAACGAACTAAGGACAAAGTTCAGCATGAAGTGCCGCTCCACTTCCTCCATGCTCGTGCGAAGTACTGCGTGATGCACCGTGGCATGTTGAGAGCTTGTGCGATTTTGAAACTCAGTGCTGAATAAGCACCAGCGGGGATCGGAAAGAACCCGCAAGATTTGAGTAAAATGGGTGCCGTGAGTGAATGACTGCTTGCGAGAGTTCGGTCCCTGTTCGGCAAGTGCTTCCAGACCGCCTTGCATACGTTCGAGATTCAAGTTTCCCAAAAAAAGGTACTATTGTCATGTACCCTGCAAATCCGCAAATCCATGTTGCCTGCCTTTTCTGTGCATGCATGTGTGTGTTGAATGCATTTTCAGTTTCGGTTTGTTGGGAAGGGGTCATTGAGGAATATTGGCGTTGGCCCCAAAGCAGTTGCCATCTTCCGCGGGCTTAGCCTGGCGACGGGACACCCCCCCCACACATCACGATACCCTGAAGCCTCCAATCTGAGAGCCTGAGCAAACACTAGTCAGTTTCACTCTACTTATGTAAATGCCGAGTGTGAGTGAGTGTGTGCGTCAAAAGCTGATACATACTTAATACTCATATACTAACTCATGTTGATATGTTCGTACATACATACATTTATATACATGTATATATAGACATATGTATGTATATATATATATATATACAACAATGTACCTCAAAACTCCAGTCTAATGAATCAGAACTCCTAAACTTAACCCAGGTACTACTTGTCCTGCAACCTCCTCCAGTGGAGAAGCGAGCAGTTCAAGCTGTTTGTGATGGTGGCCGCTGTCGCTGCTGCAGCTGTTGCAATGTACCTTGGCAGAAATTTATTAAGGACCCAAAAAGGGACCACAATTTTGACAACCACCCTCATGGAAGTCGGCGACAGAATTGCAGTGTACCTTGAAAGAAGCGCGTTGGACTCCCTGGAAGAACAGTTGCCGGTATCGTGGGTGTCAGTCCTTCGGCCCATTCTGTTCTGGGATGGAGTGGTTGGAAGCCGCATGGCTTCGGGTCGAGGTGAAAGTGAGTCGGGGTTTATGGCGCTTCTGAACGGATGAGGCTTCACAGCTCTAAGTCAGCACATGCGTTTCACTGTCTTCATGTTCAGGGCGTGGGTCTAACGGCTATGAATAAGCTCGGGCTTCGGCTTGAGAGCTGGTGTATATAGCTTATAGTAGCCCGTTCTAACTGAATCATTGTTATTTTGTAGACGACCCTGTAAGGAAGCTCTCATGCTTCAAACCTAAGCCTTAAACCCAGCCATGCGAGAGAGAAGAGACCCTCAACCCATCTGTTAGAAACCCACACCCCGAAACTCCACTCATTCTCTAAACCCCGAAACTCAACTCATTCTCTAAACCCCGAAACTAAACGCATTCTCTAAACCCCGAAACCCCACGCATTCTCTAAACACCGACCGCTCATTGTCTAAACACCGAAGCTCCACTCATTCTGTACACCTCGAGATCCAACTCAATTCTCTACACCCCGAAACTCCTCTCACTCTCTAAACACCGAAACTCAACTCATTTTTGTTAAACCCCGAACTCTCATTCTCTAAACCCCGAAACTCAGCTCATTCTCTAAACACGGGAACACCACTCATTCGCTGAACCCCGAAGCTCCACTCATTCCCTAAACCCACAAAACTTAACTCGTTTGACTCATTCCAGACACCGGAACTCAGCGCATTTCTCTAAACACCGAAATGAACTCATTTCTCTAAACACCGAAACTCCACTCATTGTCTAAACGCCGAAACGCAACTCTCCACCGAACCTCCACTCATTCTCTAAACCCTAGGCCCTAAGCCCTAAACCCTTACTGTAGTAACCTATATAAACCACAACACTCCTACTTTTCTGTTGCTACCAGGGTCGCTTGCACTCTATGGCCCTTTTGGAGCTGCTCGGAGCGTTTGGGTATTGGAGAGGTTTAGGGTTTTTGGGGGTTTTTGCGGGTGTGGGGATCAGGGCTCAGAGCTTGGGGATCAGGGTTAGGGTTAAGGGATTGTAACCGGGCTGCTGGACAACGAGGCCTGCTGCAAAAAAAGGGTTAAGGGATGAGGGTTCAGGTCTCAGGGTTGATTGGGGTTCAGGGTTTGGCGCCCTAGGGGGGTTCAGGGATTCGGGCTTACAGCTTAGGATTTAGGGCATTTAGGGTTTGCGATGTCGATTATAAGGTCCTGAACCAAAAAAGACGTGCTGGTACCTGTTTGAGGTCTCTTCATAAATTTCCTTGTATAATATAAGTCGTTAGGACAATACATGTTGAGGCTTCAGGTAGAATTCACGTCCCTAAAGAGGAGCTTCCTGCATCGTTGCATGACATCCTTTCGAGCTTTGAATGGTTCTACGTGGAGGACCAGGAAGCCATAAACAAGTAATGTCCTATAAAGTAAAAGCCAGAAAGTTGGAATATGATTATCCTAAACCCTTTATGGTAAATTAGAGGGTATCCTACCCTGAAACCATATTCCAACTTTCTGGAGTTCCCTTTAGGGTGTAGGACCAAAAGACCCTACAAAGGAGCCCTTACCGACTCTATGCTGCCCCAAAACCATATTCTGATGATCGAGGCCCCGTGCCCGAAGATCGAACCCTTCAACCCAAGCCGCTAAGCCTTAATCCTAGAACCTTCGAAACGTCAACTTTTTTTGAAACCCGCAACCCTAAACTCCCAAACCTGACCGAAATTTGATAGCCGGCGGCTATAAAGCCAAGCGAAACTCTACGCACAAACCATGCAAGTTGGCATTCGCTGCTTTTGGGGAGGCTTGGGGCTGTCGTTGTTCGGGCTGAGGAATCGCAACTTCGCTATAGGGTTGCGGGGTTTAGGGCTTTGGGTTCAGGGCTTGAGGGTTTGAGGGATTGAGGGTTTGTAGGGTTTGAGGGTTTGTAGGGTTTAGGGTTGAGGAGTTTCCGGCTTAGGGATTTTCAGGATGGCTTTTGTCGTTATGCATTTATGTGCCCTTTGTCTTTCAAGCTAGTGATGCCAAGTATAAACCTTAAACCCTTAGGCCCTAAAATCAAAACCATTCTTGTCGGAGGCTTTTGGTCTCTGGCTCTGCTCTTGTCCGTGGCACAGTCGCTTATTGCAGCTGCCATGGTCCAGTGCGAGTGGTGGCTAAGCTGCGATCCTTAGATGGTTTGGAATTTAGGACACTAGGCATATGCATAGCCCCGGTGTAAAAGGGCACTGCTTGTAGGATCATCTTTTTGCTGATTCTTGACAGTGCTGCGAAACGGAACAGCGTGGCAGCTGCGTATGGTGCTGATGATGGTAATCGTGTCGCACTGGTTGGAGATGATATGCAAATCTGTAAGACGTTGCTAGCAAGGTAGCTGCTTTCTTTCAGCTGTCTGTGACCATTTGCAGTTACGTGCGTGTTTGGTAGATTGAATTACTTTCTTCCAGGTTGTCAGACAATATACATGGTGTCTGTTTTTTGGTCTTTTCTCTGCCAACTTGTCCGTCTGTCGTGAGATCTTCTTCTGTGACATGCATCGTCTAGCTGCTGAATTCGTTGTCGTTGTGTTGTGTTTTGAGTCCTCTGTGTTCATCTCTTCGCACATTCGTTTCCGGCTGCCCTCCCATACATCGCATTGGTTCAGCCTCAATTCCTTCACATTGTGTAGAAAATGGCTTTGGGTTGCAACCTGTCAAGCTGCTTTCGTGGACACATCTCACACCGGCTTTTCAGTCTTGCCGGCGTGACAGCAATCTGGCTGCCGTGATAATGCTGACCCTGCACATGCTTGCTGGATTTCCATGTCCGGGCCTGATAAACTGGCATCGCACGGGTTAGTGAGTGGACTAGTGAGTGGTCTCTTTTAGGCAGACCGGCAGGGCTCTACGTGGCATGGGCATTGATTCTGGCCAGGGCTTTGGAGGCGCAGGTGTCGAGGATTAGGGTTTAGGCCTGAGGTTTTCAATTTGTGAATCGTCACAATGAACCCCGTTTAAACACAATGGAACTGGAGCCTCAACCCAGAACCGTTCTCTAGGTTTAGCATGGAGGGCGTTGCCTTCTCCAACCAAGAGCATTTCATCTGGATCTGCGGTGGCCCAAGTCGTACATTGATTTTAGGGTTCGAGATTCGGGTTTTCAAGCTGAGCGGTGTTTAGGAGCCAAGAAGCTGCGAATTTGGTGTTGTGGTTTAAGGTTTTGAAGGTATATATTTAAGAGACCCCCCCCCCCGCCTTGCCCGCCCGTGCTCCCCCTCAGCACTGCTAATGGCCCGAGCAAAAAGCACGGCGTGCGCACCAGTAGTCATTGAGGTGCTCCCAGCACACTCCTGCGACACCATGAGCTGCAAGGGGGCCGTATTGATCTAGGGCCATTCACAACGGTTCTTGTCGATGAGTAAGACCCTGCAGAGATGTGAAGCATCTAGGAGTGAGAGACCCTGTCCTCACCACTCGTCCCAAGTTGCCTAACCCGTGCTCCTCAGTTTGACATTTCGTGTCGCGCATGGGTTGACACAGCGCCTCTTCTGGCAGAAAAACCTCAAGTATAGATGAACATTCAGTAGTCTCCTCATAGTCGGTCGAACCGAAGGCCCAAAACCCGAACAACAAATCACCAAGAGCTCGACATGTACAGAGCCCTTCTGGCTCGCCGTTGATTTCGTTTCTTATTCTTGAAATGTGTTGGACCACTCCCTTCCCTAGTGCTACGACTGCTACTACTACTACTCCTCCTCCTCCTCCTGCTGCTGCTTCTAGTGCTACTGACGGCGACGACGATCACGACGACGGCTACTGCTTCTGCTCCTGCTCCTGCTCCTGCTGCTGCTACTGCTACTGCTACTGCTGCTGCTGCTCCTGCTCTTCCTCCTCCTGCTGCTGCTGCTACTACTACTACTCCTACTACTACTACTACTACTACTACTACTACTACTACTACTACTACCACTACGACTACTACTACTACTACTACTACTACTACTACTACTACTACTCCTGCTGCTGCTGCTACTCCTCCTCCTCCTCCTCCTCCTCCTCCTCCTGCTCCTGCTGCTGCTGCTGCTGCTGCTGCTTCTAGTGCTACTGACGGCGACGACGATCACGACGACGGCTACTGCTTCTGCTCCTGCTCCTGCTCCTGCTGCTCCTACTGCTACTGCTGCTGCTCTTCCTCCTCCTGCTCCTACTACTACTACTACTACTACTGCTACTACTAGAGAAGCTTGTTTAGCACACACTGTGCCCCATGTCAGTCTCTGCTGTCGCTTTAAATTTAGGCCACAAGTCCGATCTGGTTGACCATTCACTTCTCGACAGCAGCAGCCACTTGACCGCATAGAAGAGCTTAGGGTTTAGGGTTTAGGGTTGTTGAATGCAGGAGCTGGCAGAGTTGGACATGACATCCCGTTATAGTCCCCATATGCTTATCTCATCGAACATGCCTTGTTCTCATGATCAAGGCGCCCCACTTTCTTATGGTATGTTTGCGGCTATGAAGCCTTTGGGCACTGAGTCTTCGGAATCAGACCTCGAAGGTTGTGGGTGCAGCTGCTGGGAGTTTGGAGTGCAAGTGGTCGTTAACGGCTGCTGTGAGCAAGTGCTTTGGGATGCTTTGGGCTTAGACTTTCTGAGGGTTTGCTATCCCCTAAACCCTAAACCCTTTACCCAGAGTATGCCTTCTGTACTCATAAATGACGATGCCATAGACGTGTGCTAGTCTTTCCAAAGCCTCACACTTTGCTTCCACGGATCGCGAACCCATTTGAATTCAGAAATCCTCGAAGCCACAAGCCCAAACCCGAAGTTCAGTTGGGTTTAGGGTTCAGCGCTTCAGCGCCTCGAGTTTTATTTCACAAACGACCTGGACATAATGAGACATACTTATTTGTTCCTTATGGAGGCTTTCGCAAACCGCAGAACCCCAGTCTAATTTATCACAAAGCGGGATCGCGATGGTAGGGATCCCGGCGGGAATTGAAGAGGTGGGGCTTTATTGTTGCCTTCCTAGTAGTAGAGTATATAGGTAACCTTTCACCTTTTTGTGGTAGTATAATCCATATACAACCCCTGTAAGATCCAAAAAGTTAACCTTTAGTTCCCCATGATACCCGACAAGTAGGCTTTTTTCCGCATTGCGACGAGGTTCGCACCAGGAGGATGAGTTCCAGGACCTTTTGGATTACGTGTCCTGGAATTTACGACTTCAAGCCACATGCTACAGTTTTTTGCAGTTGTTAGAGGTTAGGGTTTCGATTCAGCCTTGAATCCCACACCCCAAAACTCTAAACCCAAAACCTCCAAACCACGAAACTGGAAAACCACAACCTTCTCTTTCCCGAAGGCCTATGGGCCTTGAGTTTAGGGCCCGCGTACCCGTGTAGTAAAGATACTTCTACGGTATGTATGTGTACTAACTACATGATCGACATTATGGAATGAGTAAGACAAAGGCCGCACTTAAGGTTTCGGGTATTCGGTACAGTACACAGTTCAGGGTGTGAGGATTTCGGACTGTTGTGGCTTGTGTTTGTGACTGAAGGGCTATGGAAGATATGCAGGACGTCAAGGCAGCTTTTTCATTGAAGGGGATGTAGTTAGTATTCGGTGATTTGTTGTGTTTCCGGCAAAGTTTCGGGTTTTGCTGCCGACAATTCCTAGCAGCACCCGATGCATTCCCCAAAGCTTAAAGCCATGCAATAGAGAACCTGACCCACCGGAAAAGAGATAAAGGATCGAGTTTTTTGGCAGGACCGCCTTGCAGAGGTGCGTGCGTTGATGGAGTCGCGGTGTCGAGGCCATGGTGGGGTTTATGACGAGCTTTGGGATTTGGGACGGTAAACTGCAATGAACAAAGCTATCATTATTATGGTTAGCAATTATTGCCACCATTATAACATTACTATTATTCGTTTTATTATCATTGTAATCATTCTTATTTGGTTTTTAGCAGCAGCACTAGCAGCAGCAGCAGCAGCAGTAGTTCTAAATACCACCAATTCTGTAGGATCTCGGGTCTTGGGAGTCTAGGATCTCTAGTATCGGGTTTAGGCTAGGGCTCGGGTCGAAGAGGACAGCATTTATGAGGTCCCGAGGGTTCAGACTTGAGGGTGTAGGCCCAGTGCAGGCTTAGTATAATGTTACATCTTTCCCAGGTAGTATTAGGGAGAACCCTTTAAAGGGGACCCTTCTTAACCCTACTTGTGGCTCTCTTAAACGGGACCTGATTGAGAGAGTCTCTATCCCCAAGGGTCCCCTTAATCCTAACTCCTAATCTTGGAGGTTAAGAGGGCCCCAGACCAAGTCGTCCTCGGCATACCTCTATGCAGCCAGCCCACTACAGAATCCTGAGTAAGTGAAACACTTCTTATGGCTGATCTTGTAACTGTACTTTACGACACCCCAAGACCCTACTCTAATTTCTAAGGCCTCTACATTGCGCGGAAGGGTTTGGGGTTTCGGTGTAAGGGCTACAGGTCGTGAGGACATTTGGGCCATCAGGGTGACCAGAACAGAGCTTTGAGGGGCGTTTCGCATGCTCTCAGATGTCAAAGGTGTAGGGGCTAGAGTGTAAGATAGAGAGGGCTTGTGGGAGGTTATTGAGCTCAAGGTTTAGGGGGTCATGGTCGGGTTAGGGTTCTGAGCCATGAGTTTTGCTCTGCTTCTGGGTTGGAGTTTGAGGCTTTGGGGTGGGAGGGGTCCGAGTTTTTGGGGGCATAGCTACTGTAGGGGGCCTCCTAGACCCTGGTTAGCTAAGTATACCGCCAGTAGTACAGAAACTCTACGGAACCTCAAACACTCTTGTTTAGTGGTACGTCATACAAAAATGCAGCCCTAAAAGTCAACCTTAAGCAGCTTGGACCAAGAACCCTGAGCCCCAAAATTAGGACCCTTCAGCCACCAAAGTTTTTTCGTGTTACTGATGCGAGCTCTATGTCTTCACGGGGAGCCCTTAGGGTTTAGGATTCAGGAATCAGGGGAATTAGGGGTATTAGGATTCAGAGTTTAGGGTTTGTGACGCCTTTTTAGCCGGAACCTACACACTCTAAACCCTACAGTAGGCCCTAAATCCACGCATCCTTTCTGAAATAATACACCCTAAACCATATGCCTCGCCTAGATTGTCCGAGTGCGAGCACCGAATTCCAAGCCCCCACGTTACACTCCGCGAGCTAAGGGCTTATAAACCCAAAACCTTACGATGCACGAGCCCTGCTCCCTCCCCAATCTGCTTCAGGTATCGAGTCCCAGGTTGCCCAGGCTCGGGAAAGCCTTCCGAAAGTGTGAAAATAAGTTGAGGTTGAGGTTTTCGAGGAGAAGTTCTTGTCATTTGCATTTGTTGTGGTTTTACAGGAGGTACGTTTGGTCGTGAGGATCTGCTTTAGTCAGTCGAAAACCTTGCTGAAGACCTACAGTTCTGTTTGTCAGGTTCCTACAGGATGACTTGAGTGCAGGATGCCTTTACTGTAGGGGCCTTAAGCCTTAATAATTAGAATAGGCTCTTGGGGGTTCCTTCTCTTGCTGGCAGGTCTGGGAGCAGCAGAGGCAGTCATAAATAGGAGTTTCCGAAAATTCGGGGTACCGTATTTTGGGGGCCTAAGGATCCTACTATTTAGGGTTCTAGATTCTAGTCTAGGGTTCCTCATTCTTGGAAACTCCCAATTCATGAATGAGCGCTCTCCTTTCTTCCAGGGAGGGACAGCTTTAAAATCTGGGACAGTTAAAGACACGAGGTTAGTTTTGGATCTTCAGGATTCGGGGTCCACGGGAATGCTGCTCAAGTGTTTACGCTGCTATTAGATTATCACATGCTAGTCCCCCCTCTTCTTGATCAGAGTTGTCAGGATCTAAAAGCCTCAGAGGTTCATGATTTGCAGCTTTGGGTTTGCGGTTTATCGTCGAGTCGACCTGAGAACCTCTGTCGGGCTCTCCTGCTGTAAATTATCTGATTCACGTGGGCTGCAGGGTCGAGAGGGTGATTCCGTCTATCTTATTAGTCGTTTTCTTATGAGGCTTCCAGCTTCTGAATGTGCCGTTCTGGTATTAATTATTCTCCCTCCTTAGACCTGAACCCGAAACATTAATAAAGTCCTCGGCCAGGTCGACCGAAAGTTGGATTCGATACTGGCGATGCTCGAGGAGACTGAGTAGCGCTCGGTCCTTCGGAGAAAATTTATCGTGTATGACCCGGGTGAGATGCAACACTTACGTTGCATAGTTCAGGGCTTAGTACTTAGGGAAAGCATTCAAAGTATGTAGCATGCGTACCCAGACCTCCACCGCCTAAGCCGCGACCGTGAGAACTGAAACGAACCTTGCTTTCCAGTTATTTCGAAGCCAGTTGCTTTATGCACGATTCGTGCTGTACATTGTCAGCGAAGCTTGGACATGCTTAAGAAAGACAGTTGTTTCGACCCCTTCATGTTCTCGGTATTTTTTTAGCATAGCAGTGGGCAATGTGCTGTAGGCCAAGAACCTTGAACCCTGAGACTAAGGAGAGAGAGAGAGAGAGAGAGAGAGAGACAGAGAGAGAGAGAGAGAGACAGAGAGAGAGAGAGCAACACCAAGCAAAGTATATACTAAAATTAATCGAAGTAGTTTGGGCCATTGGCAGAACTCGTGCGCTTTTCGGGTTCCCGCTCCTGGGTGTAGATAGATCTTTAGCGAACGTTGCTGTTTTTTGGGCTAATCTCAAACAATGAAGAAGATTCAGAGCTCGCGTAGGACACTGTGGGTTGAACATAGCCCAAAGGCTCCTAAGTACCTATATGGGAGTTTCCGAAAATGGGGGGACACTATGTAATATCTTACCCTAAATAGTAGGATCCTTGTATTATAAGGACCCCAATTTTTTTAAAATAAGGTACCCCTAATTTTCGGAAACTCCCATATAGTAGAAAGTAGGGTTTCCATATCAGGAATTGCTAGGCTGATTGGGGAAGTATCCCCCATAACTGCACCAAAGTGTATTTATGTATAGATTGAGAGCTGCACGTAGGTCCCTGACCCTAGGCATTTAGCATCAACGTTGAAAGGAGGTCTGTGATTGTGTGGATGTGGGTTTCAGAGAGATACGTGGGACGGCGTTACTCCGTGCCTAGCTGGAGTGCGGTTTATGAGGCGGGCAAGTGCCCGTGACCGTCCACAAGACAAAGGTGCGTTGCGTAGTGCACATACACCCCGCGCCCGAACTCTGAACGCCGACAAAACCTAGACTCTAAACTCTCAGCCCTATAAACCCTATAAATTCTGAACACCCAAACCCTAGACACTAAACTCTGAACCCTAAACCCTAATCTAAAGTCCAAGCGCTCCTCCAAGACAGCAGGCTGCAACCTGGCCCTGCACGTCACGACCAAAACCCTACAACCCAAACCTGAGACACCAAATCAGCTAAATCTTTATCCCTAAGGGGCCATGTATCCAAATAGCAGATACCTTGGCTCCAAAGTATCTATATAGAGACTACATGAAGGTCAAAGTATACCCTATTTGGGTGCATGGACCCTTTGGGTATCATTGCGGGGAGAATGAGTCTGGAGGCGGACTTGGGCCGAGCCCGGACACGTCATTTTGCAGGAAAAATCTGCGAAGCTTTTAATGGGCCTTAGGTCCACCTGTCTGCGGAGAATTCACCACGAATCTAGAGAATCGTAGAAACAGTATCACCAGCTCTTGAACAAGAGAAGTGGTCGAGTCTCGCAGACACAACAGCGACGAGAGCTGGCTCGAGCCATCCTTCAGTTTCACCGCGAAAATCAGCAGAATGCAGCGGAACCGTTTCGGGTGGATTTGGTATGAGGCCTGCGATGAAGGTGTGGCACAGAAGCCTCAGTCACCGAATCAGGCATTTGATGATACTAGCAGTCTTCAACCACCAGTGCCTTGTTGACATGTTTCGGCCTGAACGTAGCATCCCAGTCCCTATCTGACCCCTAGGCCAAGTCCGAACTCCCTTGAATTCCATGTCTACCCCGACTCTTATGCAGGTGTATTCAGACTGGCCGCAACACGAAGCCTAGACCCTGTACCAAAGACACAGACCACAACAAGAATCCTATATTTGGGGGGCACGGGTTTCGGGTCCTGTAACCGCCAAACCCACCATGAAAAGTGCTTCCGAAGCCGCGAAAGATGGAGCTTTCAAAGGTTTTCTGGATGGTATCCTTCTCCCCCGTGGAGCCCAGACCTTGAGCCCGAACTGCCAGGCTGATGGAAGGGGCGACCAAACAGAACAAACACCTACCCCGAGGGTTCTAAGTATCCAATAATCCTAGTATAGTCGAGTAGGTAATCTTTACCTTTTTGGGGTAGTATAATCCCTATAAGTAGGTAATCATATACTCTCCAAAATCCTAACCTGCATAACTGTTATCGTGAAGCCGAATACCTAATCATCGGGTCCTTTGGACCCTCAGGGCTAAGACCTGGACCTTGCCGTAGACCCCAGGCTGGGTGGGAAGTGTTGTGGAAGCTATAGAGGAGGGATCCTAAGTTTCTGTATGCGTACGTTTATTATAAACCTTGGACCTAATCGACTCAAAATCCAATCCTTCGACGCCCTAACGATTCGGAGATTTTTGCGGGTAAAAATTTGGAGCAGCAGAGCTTACTGCGAGTTCATCTTCATCCATCGAAGGGGTCCCAAGGAGGAGAACTTGATATCCGCCAGTCGTTGCACCATCAATGATGATGGGCATCAGGTGCTGTGCAATAAAAAGAGCTCCCTTAGATGGCTTTGGAGCATTGGGTGTTGCAATTGCAAACCACAATTCGAAAGTTGACAGGCCTCCCTCGCCCGAGTTCATATATGAAGTTCTGATACCCTCGTCCTAGACTTAGGGGTACTTAGAAATAGATTTTAGTTTTTGGTTATTGAAATCTCAAGAAACAGCTAAAATTACAATTTTCGCTTTTGTTCTAAGTTCAGTATAGTAGACCCTCAGGACAGACAACACCCTGTACACTCCAAAGATCCGCAATTGAGAGCCCTACAACACCCAGCGACCCCCTTCTTGAAGCCCTTCGTGCGACACGCGACAGCCAAGAACGATCCGTCCCCACCCTCGGCCACAATAACTCTTCGTTTGAAACCCGAAACCCTGAACCGTCAGTTGTATGTTTAATATAGGGGCCGTAATGATTACCTATATATATATATATATATATATATATTGACTGAATCCAAGAGCTTGCCAAACAGGCATTGTGGAAACTCTACAATTGCCACCCCGGAAATTCAGATGTCAGATATTCCGATAATCATTAAGAGCCATATAGTACAAACAAATCGAAAACGTCAGAAATACAGAAATTCGAATTTCCGGAATTTCCGGCAAATCATGAAATTCATGAAATCAGAATTTCCGGAATTTCCGGAATTTCAGGAAAATCATGAAATTCATGAAAGCTGATTTTCCGGAATTTCCGGAAAATCATGAAATTCATGAAAGCCTATTTTCCGGAATTTCCGGCAAATCATGAAATTCATGAAATCAGAATTTCCGGAATTTCCGGAAAATCATGAAATTCATGAAAGCCGATTTTCCGGAATTTCCGGAAAATCATGAAATTCATGAAAGCCTATTTTCCGGAATTTCCGGAAAATCATGAAATTCATGATATCCGAATTTCCGGAATTTCAGGGAAATCATGAAATTCATGAAAGCCGATCTTCCGGAATTTCCGGAAAATCATGAAATTCATGAAAGCCTATTTTGCGGAATTTCCGGAAAATCATGAAATTCATGAAATCCGAATTTGTGGAATTTCCGGAATTTCAGGAAAATCATGAAATTCATGAAAGCCTATTTTCCGGAATTTCCGGAAAATCATGAGATTCATGATATTCGAATTTCCGGAATTTCCCGGCGAACCATGAAATGCATGATTCCTGAAATACGAATTTTCGAATTTTAATTAATTTTCTAATAATTAATTATTAATTGATTAATATTAATAATACAATAATTCACATTATATTTATATGAAAAAAAAATATATATATATATATATATATATAATTTCGAATATCGTCATTATCATGGCTACTATCTATATGAGTGTATATGAGTCATTATATGAGTATATGACTGCTGACACTGGATGTGAGTACAGGGTGGGCCGTGCTTCTGAAAAGGCGACAGCATGGCAGCATAGACTCATAGAAGTGACTCGCCGTTGTCTGTGATCCAAAAGGTGGCTCGAACAGGGGTTCGTTCTGAGCCATGCGCTTTCGCCCTTGCGACCTTTGAAACTTCGGCTGACAGCCAGAAGACATGTCGGATGAGGAGTTGGAGCAGCTCGATGCGCTGGTCAGGGAGGTTAGGAAGAGCACAGACACCCCAGCTCACCGAGGGCCGCTGTCGACCAAGTTTGCGAGACTAGCACGCAGTCTGAAGCTTTCCAAACAACACAAGCATCAGGTGGCTTTGAGAGTACGCAGCTTGATTGGGAGATACAATGGGCGGCACGCCAAAACGTCAGAAGATCTCATCAATCTTGATGAACGCAGTACAAACAGTGGTTGCCCGCAGCTCTTCTCAGAGTTTGCTGGGGCGGTGACCAAGGCGGCAAAAGCCCGGCTTCGGCTGTCAGCCAGAGCAAGGGCAAAGGCAAAGGTGACCAAGGCGGCCAAAGCCAGACTTCGGCTGTCAGCCAGAAGGACGTTCCTGTCAAAAGGATGCCGACGGCCATGGCAGAGGCCGTGGAGCCAGAGCCGCGGTATCTCTTCGACGTCACCAGCGGCAACATAACGTGTCCGTCGGACCTGCACCTGCAAGCGCACCTCATGACAGAGTGGCACATGAACAAGATTCGGGAGAAGCAGCGCGAGGTGCGGGCCCGCGAAGCGGCAGGTTCGGCTGTCAGCCAGGAAACCAAGCCGCCACAGCTGCCGCTTACCTCCAAGGCTCCTCCTGGTGAGCCCTCGGCCAAGACAGCGCAGCCCCTGAGCTGAAAGCACCTCCGAAGAAGAAGCCAGAAGCCGTCAAAGAAGAAAACGAAGGAGTCCCCACCACTGCAAAGGCACCGCCACCTTGTGTCACTGCAGAAAGCAGCACCCCAGCTGCAGCAGCGCCTCCTGCAGCACCGACTCCGGCTGTCAGCCAGGCCCCAACAAGTGTGGTCCGCCTGCAGCACCGACTCCGGCTGTCAGCCAGACCCCAGCAAGTGGTCCACCTGCTCCTGCAGCACCGACTCCGGCTGTCAGCCAGGCAGAGACAAGAGAAGCACCAGAGGAAGCGCCTGCTGCAGCGGCGAGCCAGGCAGCGCCGTCCCAGCCCACTCTGCCTCCAGCTGGCCACCAGAACCCTCTCCCTCCTCGACCACCGCCGCCGCGCCGCTCTTCGGCTGTCAGCCAGCAGGGCCAGCAGGTCAAAAGAGAGGCGGACACTGCGCCCCAGCCTGAGGTAAGTCCGCGCATCGTGAAGGCGCGCTCGGACAGACAACGCCTTCTGGCAGAGCTGGCGCAGGTCGACGAGGTGCTGGGCGTGGACAGCTACTACGCCCACCACGGGCTCCGCAACGGCGCCGACACCAACCAGGACGGCCACAACGTCCTTCACCTCTTGGCCGAGGACGTCCGCCTTCATTAAGTCAGCGAGCTCTTGGCGCTGCGTGTGGCGCAAGAGGCGCCGGTCAGTAAGGGGCCGCCCGGCCGGCGCGACAGCCCTGCACATGCTGGCTGGCGCAGGCCGCGACTCTGAGCGGTTGCGGTGCAGGTTGGCTTCCATTTTGATGGAACGCAACGCCAACCCGGAGGCTCGCGACGCTCGGGGGGCCACTGCCTTGCTGCGGGCTGCCGGCGTCGGCTCGGTGACCATGGTTCAGCGCCTCATAGAGGCTAGGGCAGATGTGCACTCTTGCCACGCCACTACCAGGCGCAACGCCTTCGACGTTGGCAATGTCGAGATGCGCGAGTACCTGCGGCGTCACCACAACCTCATGCAGGGGCACAACCGCGCAGGGGCCTTCCTCAAGAGCCATGTTCCCCGATCGCTCCCGCCAGACCAGAGACGAAAGGGCACGCACGCGAGCCAGGCACGCAGGGATCGCGGTGAAAGGTACAGGCAGTGGCGCTGAGTTTCTGCTGTCAGCAAGGCCAGTGCTTCTGCTTTCGGCTGTCAGCCAGTAGCAGCGGTGCCTTCGCCTGTCAGCCAGGCAAAAGCGTGCCAGCGTGCCTTCGGCTGTCAGCCAGGCCTCCAACCACGGTTGCCACGGCGGCCAGCAGCGCAGCTCGGCGGCTCCCTCACAACGTGCCTTCGGCTGTCAGCCAGGCCTCCACGCTGCCGGCGCGCGGCGCTTGACTCAAAGCCGAGTGCACGGGTGGCGCCAAAAAATTCCGTCGGTTTGGCAGAGGGCCTGGGGAAGGGCGGGAAGGGTAAGAGTCGTCTGAGTTGTCGGGTCACATGTCACATGTCACGACACTTCCACGTCTTATGTGTCTATGTCTATGTCAATGTCACAAGTCACAATTTCTATGTCAATGTCACATGTCTCTGTCAATGTCAATGTCTATGCCGCCCCTACTTTTCCCCACCTGATGTTGTAGATCATGTAACCACAACTTTATGGAAACCACCCTATTTTGCCCCGACACAGTAATCCACAATATCAATGTGAACCACCCCGTTTTACCCTACACCGACATAATGGAAACGACCCCGATTGATCCCACCAAGCGACCCTGATTCTACCCCGTTTAATGTTATATAACTTATAACTTATAACTTATAACTTATATTTGGCTCGACAACAACAGCCCCAAATTTGTCATAACCCATGCAGCCCCCTGAAGCCCTAAACCCTAAAAACCTTGTTGTCTCTTCTCATGTGCAGGCATGCTTGTGGAACCGGCGCTTCTGCTCAAACCACTAGATTTTGTTTTGCAGATTCCCCGTGGCTTACCTGCGACCTGTCCTGTTTGCCCTGCACAGGTACAGCCTGTTCAAGTACCAGGACATGCGTCCCCTGGGGCGGAATGATGAGTGGCTCATTTTCCACCACGACGGGCAAAATTTGGGCCACGTCTTCTTCCGTCGTCGAACCCGGACCAACAGAAGGGCCTATGCTCAACAAGGTTTTTGGTCCTTCGACGTCCGGGATACGCAAATTGCATCACTTTGATGGACTTTGCATGTTGCCCGGATCAGGGCGTACGCATCCAGAGCTGCAGTTTCGTGAGCTCACTGGCCGGGTTCACGGGCACCAGGTGTTTCGGACTCCGGATGGTGCCCGTGCGATCATGTATGTGGGCCAGTTCACCTTCATCCGCGCCTTGGGCGACGACGTGCCAGAGGGATGGGTGCTGCTCTGATGCCCACGCATGAACATGCTTGCTGCAAAGCAGCAGCCCGGAATAGGATCTGTAAAAGTGTAAAAGGTCCCTATATGCTCGCCTGCACAGTTAACGGCATGTAGCAGCAGACCAGAATAGGATCTTTAACAGGTCCCTAAGGGATCTTTAATATAAAAGGTCCCGAAGGACATGGCTCTATATATGATGCCATTTCCAAACCAGCTTTCATCCTGCGAGGCTCTCCCGCAGGAGATCGAATCTGCCGCTTGCCCCTTTTGCGGAGAAAAAAGGGGGATACCAGATCCGTGCCAGTTTAGCAGTGCATGTGTGTTGATGAAAATGTATATAGGCAGTGATAGGTTCACCAGTACTTGCCGACTCCATCGCCCCACTGCTTCCCGATTCCAATTTCAGTACCAGTACTACTACTACTACTACTACCACCACCACCACCACCTACTACTACTTCTACTACTACTACTACTACTACTACTACTACTACTACTACTACTACTACTGCTACTGCTACTGCTACTGCTACTACTGCTACTGCCACACTACAACTGTAGCCCTCTATAGCCTGTAGACTGTAGACCTAGCCGCCTAGCCCGCCTAGCTTCTGCCGCAACGGTCGCGCTGCGCTGCTTCGTGCCTTCGGCTGACAGCCAGTGCAGCGTGCTGTGCGGTTTCGTGCCTTCGGCTGACAGCCAGTGGAGCAGCGGGTAGTTTGCTACGTCCGGCTGTCAGCCAGGTTCGGCTGTCAGCCATGAAAAGATTGGCTCCAGTGCAGCCAGAGACGTGGTCTCAGTTAAGGGAGGAGGAAATCGAGGAGCAAGAGAACCAGTTATTGGAAGCCCAGGCCCGATTGGGAGATTTGTTGGCCGAGCGGCGGCAAATGGCCGAGCGCATCCGATTGCTTGAGGCCGCGAACCGTGCCTTTATGGCGGCGATCACAGGGCTAACCCAAGACTTGCGCATTTGGTGTCGGTTTTGGAACCGCAAGCTTCAGAATCCGCGGATGCAGCTGATGCAGCTGTGGTGCAAGACGAGCTCAGCCGCGAATTGGACGATGTTTCGATGGCTCTAGCTGGTGCGCTGGATCGGCTGGCTACGGCTGCTGATGTCGCCGAACGGCTGCGTCGTGAAAGCGAGGCAGAGACTCAAACGTTGGTGGTTGAGCAGGCAGGGCTGCGCGCACATGCAGTTCTTGACGAAAATCAAGATGCCCAGCCCTTCGTGATGGACTGGAGCCCATGAAGAAAGCCTTAGATGTTTTCTTTGAAGCAACCGGTTCTCTGCCAAAATCCGGCTGCCAGCCAGATTGGGTCGCAGGAGCGGAGCCTTCCGGCTGGCAGGCAGATGCACGGCTGCTGGCGGCCTGCCTTCGAGAAACCGACTCCGTGCCAAACTCCGGCTGCCAGCCAGATTGGTTGTGCGGCTGCTGGCGCCCAATTTTTTTAAAGTGCCCATAGCCCATAGTGCACTAAGTTGGACGGCGCACAGAGACAACGCTGAAGGCAGCAAAGTTCGAAGTCAACCGCAATGGTTTGCGTTTGTGTTGGTCATGCAGAGGCAGTTGTGCATGTTGCGTGTTGTTAGCTTTTGGCTACAGGGGTGCAGGGAGTAGTCGCATGATGCAAGGCTAGCTTTTGGCAGCATGAGAGTCGACAAGCATTGCAGCACACGTGAACAGAGGAATGCAGCACAAGTTTCAGCCGTTTTAAAGGGCAGCCTATACGGCTTTAAGCATGCAGGCAGCATACCAAATCATATCAGCGTCGCCATTTTTGCCCAGCCAGAGCCCGCAGTTCACGCCCACGGATTTTTTCGGTAACAGTCTAGACTATACACTGTATGAAGGACTATAGTTAGTTAGTCGAGTCGACGATTAGCTTTTTAGTTTTTGAATTATTGATAAATCAGCAAACTGAATTGTATGCAGTATGCATATTGCATATTAAATTATATTATTAATTATTAATTAATTAATTAATAATTTTAATAATCAATTATTAAATTATTAATTATTACTAAATTAATACAAAGTATCACTGAATCACTTATAATTCTATACCAGGGAAGGGCTCACTCTTATTGAGTGTGCAGCTCGCTGTAGGATGATATGCAAGGATGTCAACTGTCAACGAGGTAGGGGCGGCTGGTTCATGGTTAGTGAGGCCACTTCAACAGGCAGACGGCACCTTGAATTTGGAAAGAAATTTGTCCAAGTCCTCGTCACCGATGAGAGACTATCCTGGTGACACGCTGCAGCACTTTGCGCTGAGCTTTCTGTGACTTGGGACCGAGTGAGAAGGACTCACCCGCTGCAGGACGACGTGGGCGTTTTAAGTGCGGTGTTGCAGTTTGTAGCTCGCTTGATTTCAACAATCCAAACCGAAACCTGCAACTAAGTTGAACCATGAATCCGAACTAGAATCAGAAATGACCTGAGCTATTGTGTTTCGGAATTTCCGGAAAAATTGGGTGCGTAATTTCCGATTTTCCGGAATTTCAGGAGGAGCGCAAGTTACAGAGGGTTTCCGTTAGTTACAGTATGGTTTGCGTTAGTTATCAGCCTCGTAACTTTCATACGGCAGAAATTCCATTAATTCAATAATTCATAATGAATGGAATTTCAGGAATTCCAGAAATTCAATAAATCATAATTTCCGGAATTTCCGGAGGAGCGTAAGTTACAGAGGGTTTCCGTTAGTTACAGTATGGTTTGCGTTAGTTATCAGCCTTGTAACTTTCATACGGCAGAAATTCCATTAATTCAATAATTCACAATTAATGGAATTTCAGGAATTCCAGAAATTCAATAAATTATAATTTCCTGAATTTCCGGAGGAGCGTAAGTTACAGAGGGTTTCCGTTAGTTACAGTATGGTTTGCGTTAGTTATCAGCCTCGTAACTTTCATACGGCAGAAATTCCATTAATTCAATAATAAATAATTTCCGGAATTTCCGGAGGAGCGTAAGTTACAGAGGGTTTCCGTTAGTTACAGTATGGTTTGCGTTAGTTATCCGCCTCGTAACTTTCATACGGCAGAAATTCCATTAAATTCAATAATTAGCAATTAATTGAATTTCAGAAATTCCAGAAATTCAAAAATAAACAGGGGCATCTAGCGCGCTTGCCTCACCCCAAGCGGGCGTGGGCCATGGGCTCTAGGATAGTCTAGTGAGTCAGTCTAGTGACTCAAAGCCATGGCGCCGCGCAAGCGCCCGGCAGCTCTGCCGGGTCCAGTGGAAAAAAAGCCGCGCGGTAGCGGCATCGCCGAGTACTTCCGGCGCGACGACGTGCCAAGTTCGGCTGACAGCCAGATACCGACTGGCAGTTTTCCGGCTGCCAGCCACGAGCCTGCCAACACCGAGGCCGAAGCCCCGCCTCCCAAGCGGCTCTGCGCAGGTTGCCAGGTAGGGTTTAGGAAGTTTACGGTTTATTGGCTTAGGGCTCGGGCTAGGTTTAGGGGCTTCGGGGGTTTAGGGTTTACAGTCTGCCATATAGCCTGCAGCCCTCAAACCTTAAAGCCTAAAGCCAGCCCAAACAAGCCCTAAACGGCGCAGGACCCTAAAACCCTAAACCACGGCTCAAGATTGCTTGATCGCCAAAGTGCGGCGGCAACGGATTGTCACCGCAAGGACCGTAAGCAAAGTGTCCGGCTTCACTATGTACCGTGGTCGAGAGTCCAGTGTATATATATGTATATATATATATATATATATATATATATACGTGCCCCCTGGGAAGCCCCTGAGAGGCCCTGGGAAGCCAATAACCAGCCGGGAAGAGGGGGGAAGGGGTGGAAATCTAGGGAATTTGTCCTGAATTCGAGCCGAATTTGAACTGAATTTGAAGCGAATTTGAAGCGAATTTGAGCCGAATTTGAACTGAATTTGAAGCGAATTTGAAGCGAATTTGAGCCGAATTTGAACTGAATTTGCATAGATTTTGAACAGACTTTCCCTTTACCGCCCTAGGGGTCACACAGTTTTGTCCTACTGCCCTAGGGGGCAAAAAAAATATATGTATATACTTATATATTTTCATAATATCGGCCTGCGGCAGGAACGGAATTCGCCTGAAGGCAAGAGGGTTGAAGATTCATGTTTCAGTGTCAGGACTCTCAGGATTGCCAAAACTTAGTTTGCGGCAGTAACGGAATTCGCCCGAAGGCAAAAGCATGGAGTTGAAGACTTGAAGATACATGATTCAGCGTCGCGAGTCTCAGGAATTTAGCCTGCGGCAGTAACGGAATTCGCCCGAAGGCAAACGCAGGGGTTGAAGACTTGAAGATACGTGCTTCAGCGTCGCGAGTCTCAGGATTGCTAAAATTTTAACTGCGGCAGCAACGGAATTCGCCCGACGGCAAACGCAGGGGTTGAAGACTTGAAGATACATGATACATGGTTACATGATACATGATTCAGCGTCGCGAGTCTCAGGATTGCCAAATTTAGACTGTGGCAGCAACGGAATTCGCCCGAAGGCAACAGCAGGAGTTGAAGACTTGAAGATACATGATTCAGCTTCGCGAGTCTCAGGATTGCCCAAATTTAGACCGCGGCAGCAACGGAATTCGCCCGAAGGCAACAGCACGGGTTGAAGACTTGAGGATACATGGCAGGCTGCGGATATTTTTTTGGCTCCGCAGCCGCTGGAGCACAATCTTGAGTCTGATGTTCTTGCTTGCTGATACCAACGGTTAATTTGCGAATCGAACGGAGACCCTTCAAAAGGGCGGTTGTGCGCCGCGGCCCCTGCGTGGGCCGCCGCGCGAAGCTTCACCAGGCGCTGCAGGATGCCCAGGGAGCGAACACCGGCAGCCCGCAGCACGCATGTGGCGCCCCGGGCATCACGCGCCTCTAGGTCGGTTATGGTGATGAGCCGGGACCGCAAGCATTCGAAGTCTCGGCCCGCTAACATGTGAAGGGCCGTTGCACTCGCTGGCCTGCGGGCGGGTGTGCGCCGCGGCCCCTGCGTGGGCCGCCGCGCGAAGCTCCACCAGGTAGTCTCGCACTTCCTGGTTGCCGGGAGGCACGGGTCGCGTGGACGTCGGGGCGAACCTCCACCAAGCGCTGCAGGATGCCCAGCAGCACGAAAGTGGCGCCCCGGCATCACGCGCATCATCAAGTTTTCGCCATTTTTATTTGTGGTTCATTTGACATGTGACGTGTGACATGACATGGTGACATGTGACGTGACAGGACTCATGACTTATGACTCATGTCTTGACTTGACTTGGCTTGACTGTGACTCTGACTCTGACGTGACTGTGGTTGAATTTCGATTCTCTTTACTTTGTTGAGTATTAAAAGCTGAAAACTGATTTCAGATTTCGTAGCTCTTGTCACGCTTGCCACGTCGAGTCGAGTCATGTCACAGTCACAGAGTCACATGCATGCATGTCGTCAGTCATCACAGTCTGTCCGTGATGTCTTTGTCGTCGTCGCGTCACGTCATGCATGCGGTCATGCTGTGGCCTATGGCTAGTTACGTGAGTTACGTGCATCATCAATCTTAATATTAATAGATTCATTTCAACTTTTCATGAAAATTTTAGTGTTTACAAAAATCGGCCAATGGTGCCGGCGTTATCTGCGCCATTTTCCGCGGCGAAAAGAAAAAGGGGTTTCGGCGGTTTCGGGTTCGGTTTAGGCGGTTTAGGCAAGCAGCCCTACCTAAGCCGCACAGTCTAAGTCTAAGTCTAAGTCACAGTCTAAGTCTAACTCTATCAGCCTGACAGTCTATTTTTATTTTCTATTTATGAAACCCTAAATGAAATTTGAAATTAATGAAGCGCTTGACTCCTTGACTTGCAACTAAAATGACTCTGAATCATATATATTATAATCAATATCAGGAGCCGGGATCGTCGGCTGTCAGCCAGGATCCCACAGCGGCAGCGGATGAGGCTGCTAATGATGCCTACGATTCGTTCGATGACATGGTGCGAGACTCAGTGCAAGAAGCACAGAACAGGCGCTGGATGGACAGCGGGTTCTTTCACTCGGAGGAAGAAGAGTTGTCGCCGTCGTATGAGCATGAAGAGAAGTTGAGAGACTGCCAGCGCCAGCCGGCTGCCAGCCCGAAAAAGTCAGGGCAGCACGAGCCAGAGGACAACGGCACGACCGCCGAGCAGCCGCAACCGCTGGAGTCACAAGTGGACGGGAGAGTGAACGCAGCAACAGAGCTGGAGTCAAAGGCGGAGCCACTCAGGAAGAAGGAGCAGCCGGAGCACAATGACAGCCA